TTACTCAGCGTATACAGGCGCTTGGCAAAAAACAAAAACAATTCTGGAATTAGCGTTTGATGCTCTTTATACTGGCACATGCTTTGTTTGAAAAGGCAATTTCGACTATGGGTCCTCCCTTGGAAAGAGGCTAAACATCCCTTTTGCTTTGCCCCAAAAACACTATAAAAAGTACTTGTTAAGAGTAATCAATCCTAGCACTTACAGAAGGAATTCTCTGGGTACCGTCTCCGAATTTGGCCGGGTATAGTTTATATAGTACACAGCATTTTGATCTCTTACGAAAAAAGCAAGCCACCAGCCAAAAGTTGAAAGGATTGCAGAGATTAAAAATGAACTACACATCTGGGACGCCAAATACAGGTCCATCGTCTCATCATAACTTGAAATAGCCACTGCCTAAAACGAGCAAGCATTGCTCCCAATAAACGGCATTAAACTCACATCATTTCTCCAACCACCATCCTTTACAATAGCTTGTGACAATCTGACCATAAAGTCGTTATCATCCCCAAAAATCAGAAAGTTTGATATATTCTAAAGGAAGCAAACGCGAGGGTACTGTCATTTTTGGGATCTTACCATTTTCTTCGCCAGTGTGTTAGCGGCTTTAGCAGTTATGTTCATGTCAGTGTATGTATTTCTTGAGATGAAATCTGTCATACGCACGTGTACGCACAGTGAGTCCTTGTAACTAACAAAGCTTGATTAATCTCCAAATGAGCAGATTCGCTATTCTCACTTTTTCAAAGAATGTATTATTTTGCTACCATTTTGTTTCATTTCCTCTGAGAATTGTAGAATATCCCGTACGTCTTCGATATAGTCTTCAAAATATCGGCGATTTTGCCCAAAACTGAAGTCCAATAGCAAGAACTGATTGGTGAGGTTGGTTAGTCTGAAAACGTAAATCTTCATTACAAATCAAGGTTTGCATTTGAGCAAACCTCATGGGATCGTCATAGTCGAAGCATGATCCGCCAAATTTTACGACCTCTTGCTTGGTTCCACTCTTTCAATGAATTTTCAATAATATCTCTCGACATCATCAGCCTACATGTTTTTCAGGCCTAATACTACAAGATGAAAAACAAAATTTGACAATTCTCAAGATT